GCCTTTTCTCCCCCTCCCTCCCCTTCCACATAGGCACAAGCTCTCACGTGCCATCCTCGCTCTCTCTGGTCCCTGCCTCCGCATCTCCCCTCGCATCACCCGCCTTCTGGCCCGAGTGTAGGTAGGTAATCCTTCCTTTCTACGTAGGCACGTTACTTACATGCTTGTAACCAAGCCTAGATAGGTGGAGTGAAATGCTTTTGACGCACCTCAGATGCCCTCTCTGGTCCCTGCCTCCGCATCTCCCCTCGCATCACCCATCTGCTTACCCGAGTGCAGGTAATCCTTCCCAGGGGGACTTTGTGTTTAGCTAAGTGTTGTGTTTAATTAAGCGTGGATAGTGAGTGCTTCATAGGAAATTATCTCATGTGACTCTCGCTCAGCATGGTTCTGCCGCTGCCATATACCCTTTTGTCTCACCCAAATCTCCTTCTAGCTTAATCTCCGTCGTGCTTCCCCTCCCCCCTCCCCCTCCCCGCACCTCTTCTTCCTCAACTCATCCCATTCCCTCGCCACTGTTCCTCTCTTGCACCTCAGGTCCCGCCCCTTGCAGGTCTTGCACCTTGTCCCTTTTCCTCTCAAACAACACCGTCCTTGCTTCATCTCAACCCCTGCTTCCCCTCCCCCCTCCAGCGTCTTTTTTTTCTCAACTCTTCCCAATCCCTCACCACCTTTCTGCTCGTGGACTTCGGCTTGCGTCGCTACCCCTCCTACCGCTGTGACCGCTCTGAACCGGTCTTCACCTCTCGGGAGGAGCTTTTAGCATACGAGCAGGTAAGTACACTCCAAATAAAGAACTTGGGTTCACCAGCTTTTAACAACCGAAGGCAATATGATCACCAGCTTTCAGCTTGTTGTTCGTCTGCAATCTGCCAACTTTAAAAAGGATTCAAAGCTTAGGAGGAGCTTCCCTGCCTCGCTTTGCGGTTGATTTTGAGAATTCTCAAAACCAAGCTAGAAAACTTAATTTCCCTGCCTCGTATTGCTGCCATTCGCCCCACTTTGTGTGCTTCTCTCTGCTGCTCGTTGTGTAAGGTATTCGTAAAAGGCTTCTGGAAAACGGGTTCTGAGAAGTCTCAGAGCTTCCTTGCTCTGTATTTCCTTCTTCTTCTCTCTGTATTATTTCTGCGTGCGTGCAGGCTTGTGAGGTGTTGGAAACGGTTGAGAGGATTGTCGGGGTGGATTCATCGGAAGGGGGAGGCGGGTCAGGGAGAACGGCAGGGGCAGCAGGGAGAGGGAATGGGAGAGGAAGCGGAGGTGGGAGAGGGAGTGGAGGTGGGGGTGGGAGTGGTGGGAATGGGAATGGTGGGAGTGGAAGTGGTGGGAGTGAGAAGCGGAAAGCGGGACAAGATGTGGGAGGAGGGAGAATGTTAGGGGAAGGGGAGGCAGACAGGGGTGGTGGTAAGAAGACTCGTCTGTCTGATGGTTGTGGTGATAAGGTCGGGGAATGTGCTGGTAAGGAGGGAGAGGAGGAGGGGGTAGCGGAAGGGGCCGATCCGCAGGAGGGGGGGAAGGAACGGGAGGAGGAGGAGGAAGAAGAGGAAGAGGAGGAGGATGTGGAAGAGCTGATTCTAATGGCAGCGCTGGCAGGAGCGAGGCAGCAGCTTCAGCAGGGGGAGGATTCACCTGGGGAAGGTTTATCTGAGGACGAATATATACACAATCTAGTTTTCTGTTTCGAGGATGAAGCACGGGTCTTGCAGCACGGATCTTGGAGGGATCGGTTCAAAGCGGAGCGTGTGTATGCGGAGGTGCTGTGGCGAGGCGTGGGTTGGCTGGAGAAGCAGAAGAGGTGAGCATTGATTCAGCAGTAGCTGTCATGGTCCTTGGAGTAATGAGGTGCCTCAAAACGGTTTGGTTCAAAGCGGAGCGTGTGTATGCGGAGGTGCTGTGGCGAGGCGTGGGGTGGTTCGAGAAGCACAAGAGGTAAGCCTTTATCAGGTAGAGGTAGGGCTTGATAGGCCACCTGACCCGGTGGTTGGAGTTTTCAGGTGCCTCAAAGGGGATCAATTCAAAACGGAGCATGTGTATGCGGAGGTGCTGTGGCGAGGCGTGGGGTGGCTGGAGAAGCACAAGAGGTAAAGATTGATACACTTGATAGACCACCTGACGTGCTGCTTGGAGTTCTCAGGTGCCTTAGAAGGCATTGGTTCAATCTGAGGCTGCTCGTCTCCTTGTCCTCCTCCCTCAAGCGCTGCCTCGACCCTACCCCACCCCACCTCAGTCAACCGCACTTGAACCCTCACCGCCCCCTCCCCTCCCTACCTGCAGGTACAGCCAGGCAGTGTCCGATTTAAGGCTGCTGGTCGCCTCGCCCTTCAACCCCAGGGCCCGCCTGGCACACTCTTCCTCCGCCTCTCCCCCGACCTGGTCCACGTGGGTCCCTCCCCTTCCCTCCCCGCCCATGTTCCAGATATAACCAAGCAGTGTCAGACCTAAGGCTGCTGGTCGCCTCGCCCTTCACCCCCAGGGCCCGCCTGGGCGCCCTCTTCCTCCGCCTCTCCACCGACCTGGTCCACGTGGGAGAGCTCAAGGAGAGCCTGGAGGCCGCCAGGACAGGCGTGGCGGAGTGCGACAGGGACAGAAACATGGCGCCAGGGGACTTGCTGTCGCTGCAGCGGCGCGTGGTGTGGCTGGCGAAGCCGCCCATCAGTTGGAAGCGGCCGAGCTACGTGTGGTCGTCGAACTGGCGATGCAAGGAGGTGCGTTAAGTTAAAAGGCAACCTATTCTGTTACCAGCCTGCTGTCGCGAGAGTCGTGTGGCTGGCGAAGCCACCCATCAGTTGGAAGCGGCCGAGCTACGTGTGGTCGTCGAACTGGCGATGCAAGGAGGTGCGTTAAGTTAAAAGGCAACCTATTCTGTTACCAGCCTGCTGTCGCGAGAGTCGTGTGGCTGGCGAAGCCGCCCATCAGTTGGAAGCGGCCGAGCTACGTGTGGTCGTCGAACTGGCGATGCAAGGAGGTGAGTGAAACATCATCGAGTGACGCTGGAACGGTCTATCACGTTACCAGTCTGCTATCACGCGGCAGAGCCCAGAGGCTGCCAGGACGGGAGTCGCAAACTCAAAAATAGGGACAGAAACATGCCGCCGGGGGTTGTGCTGTCGCTGCAGCGGCGAGTGGTGTGGCTGGCGAAGCCGCCGGTCAGCTGGAAGCGGCATGGATATGTGTGGTCGTCGAACTGGCGATGCAAGGAGGTACGTTATTAGTGTGCTATCAACTTAAGTGGCTGGTTACCATCTCACTATCACCAGAGTGGTGTGGCTGGCGAAGCCACCCATCAGCTGGTAGCGGCCAAGCTACGTGTGGTCGTCGAACTGGCGATGCAAGGAGGTACGTTACCAGTTTGCTATCAACTTTGTATGTTTATCTCCTTGCATCAGCAGTCCGCTACCACGAGGGTGGTGTGCCTGACACAGCTCCCCATCAGCTGGAAGAGGCCTAGCTACGTGGGGTGGGGTCTTCCAGAGGCCTGAACAGTGAGGTGGACACTCAAAGCCACTTCTACAGCACCTCTCCCTCTCCTCTTCCATCACCTGCCCCCTCACTTGGTCTCTCCCCTCCCTCCACCAGGTGCGCATTGAACAGTGAGGTGGGAGTTTGAAGCCGCTTCCCCACGTGATTCCCTCGCTCACCTGTGTGCCCTCCCTACCCCCACCCCACACCTCGCATCACCATACAGACACGCACTGTGGGGCGACCACTGAACAGTGAGGTGGGAATTTGAAACTGCTCCCCCACATGTTCCCCGCTCACCTGTACCCCCACTCCACTCCTCGCATCACCATAAAGATAAAAATCGTGGGGCGTCCACTGAACAGAGAGGTGGGCGCCCGAAGCCGCTTCTACAGCATGGCTCCCGTTACAGTCACACGCCCTCCCGCTACAGCCACATCCGGACCTCCCCAGAACCCTGAAAATCTCCGCACGGGAGAAGAAGCAAGAGGAGGCGACTGCGATGAGGCATCACCTGTTTTACATGCTCCACCTGCTCCATGGTGGGACGGGCAGTGCAGCGTAGAGGAGCTAGCGCTGCAGCACTATGCCAGTGAGGAGGGAGGCGGGTGGAAGGGCGTGCACTGCGAGGGCTCCCTGTGGTCGACGCTCTTCACGCTGCTCTTCTGGGACGTCATCTTCGCGCCTATCCCCGATGTTTTCCATCATCCCTTTCAGGTGTGTGCTTGCTTGTTTGCTGCATAGAACGTATCAGGTGTGTGCTCTGTGTCCTGGAAATAGAATGTGCGTGTCACGACAGGGCGTGCACTGCGAGGGCTCCCTGTGGTCGACCCTCTCCTCTTCACGCTGCTCTTCTGGGATGTCATCTTTGCGCCTGTGCCTGATGCCTTGCACCGTCCCTTCTAGGTGTGTGGTCCTTGCCCAGAAAGAGAATGTGTATGTTCCTCTTCTGGCTGTGCACTGCGAGGGCTCCCTGTGGTCGACGCTCTTCACGCTGCTCTTCTGGGATGTCATCTTCTCGCCTATCCCCGATGTTTTCCATCATCCCTTTCAGGTGTGTGCGTGCTTGCTTTCTTGCTGCCTAGAACGTATCAGGTGTGTGCTTTGTGTCCTGGAAATAGAATGTGCGTGTCACGACAGGGCGTGCACTGCGAGGGCTTCCTGTGGTCGACCCTCTCCTCTTCACGCTGCTCTTCTGGGATGTCATCTTTGCGCCTGTGCCTGATGCCTTGCACCGTCCCTTCCAGGTATACGCTTGCTTGGGCAGCTTCTAAGCTGCCCAGAGCAGTCAGAAGAAGAATGAGTGTGTCAAGGAAGGCCATGCACTGCGATAGTGCTTTTCACCCCTTCCTTTCACCCCAACTCCCTCCCCCTGCTCTTCCCAGGCTGCCCCTCTGGACTTTGGTTCCGCACAGTTTGCATATAAACGGGGCTCTCTCATTGAAAAACGCAAGTTAGAGTTGATAGGGGGGAAATGCAATGGCGAATGCATGCTTGTTGGAGGATTGGGAGGAGAGGGAGGAGTGAGAGTGGGAGTGAGAGGAATGGGAGGAGTGGGAGGAGTGGGAGGAGTGGGAGTGGGAATGGGAATGGGAGGATTGGGAATGGGAGGAATGGGAGGATTGGGAGTGGGAGGAATGGGAGGATTGGGAGTGGGAGGAATGGGAGGATTGGGAGTGGGAGGAATGGGAGGATTGGGAGTGGGAGGAATGGGAGGAATTGGAGGAGTGGGAGGAGTGGGAGCAGTGGGAGCAGTGGGAGGAGTGGGCGGCACATTTGGTGCTTCTGGTATAGTTGGCACTCCTGTGGGTGGCACATTTGGTGCTTTTCCTACGGGTGGCACTCCTATGGGCGGCACTCCTATGGGTGGCACTCCTATGGGCGGCACTCCTATGGGTGGCACTCCTATGGGCGGCACTCCTATGGGCGGCACTCCTATGGGCGGCACTCCTATGGGCGGCACTCCTATGGGTGGCACTTGTGCAACCAGCACACAGGATTCTTGTCCAATGGTCGAAGCTTTTGGTGCATGTGCACTGGGCGGCACACTGGCGACTGTGAAGCTGCTGAGGGAGCGGTGGCAGGAGCACCACAACACGCTGTGCGTATGCCTGGGGCCTTTGAGTGACGAGGGGGCGGCTGGAAACACTGGGAGTGATGGCGCTTGGTGTTGTGCCCGTGACGTGGGTGCTGCAGCGTCTGCCTCTGCTGCTGCAGCTGCTGCTGCTTCTGCTGCCCCTTCTGTTGATGCAAATACTGTGCCAAACTCACCTGGTGTTAGCAGCAGCAGGACCAACCAGCGTTCCTTCAGCCTTGCAGAGCTCACAGAAATTGTCCTTTGTGCCGGCTGCGTTACTGTAGTCGCCATCTGCGAGCGGCTGGCGGAAGGCTACAGTGCTTGGAGGGGCGGCATGCCGGACCTGGTGCTCTGGAGGACACGCCCGGCCGAACCTCAGCTTCGGGCCGAGCTGCAGGCTCGGATGGAGATTCGAGAGTTGAATGCGCAGAGAAGGAGTGAGTGGTTGGGTGCAATTGAGCCTAGACCGCTTCCTTCTGGGTTTTTCAAAGGGACGAGAGGGAATTGGGGAGGGGGGCTGGTTGGGGGCGATAGAGGGAATTACTGGGGGGAGGTAAAGCTGGTGGAGGTGAAAGGACCGAGGGATGAGCTGTCATGCCAGCAGACTGAATGGTTGAGGGCACTGCAGGGCGATGGGGTGGATCACGAGGTGTGCAGAGTGGTGGAGAGGGAGGAGCAGCAGGTGCAGAAGAGGAAGAGGAAGAGATAAGCTTCCACCTACTGAAATCAGAGCTTGGTTGACTTTTGAGTCGAATCAAAAGCCAAGAGGGGATTCGTGGAGGGATGTATAGGAGGTGGAGGTGAAAGGGCCGAGGGACCAGTTTTTCCTCCCAGCAGACTGCTTGGTTGAAGGGACTTAAGGCGATGGGGTGGATGTGGAGGTGTGCAGAGTGGTGGAGAGGAAGGAGCAGGTGCAGAAGCCGAGGAGAAAGAGATGAGAGTTTGGCTCCTGGGAACAGACATGGCAAGGATGAACCAGTGCGTGTGTGAAAGAGAGTTGAGAGCACAGGTCATGGGGTATGGTGCTGGATGGTGCTTCATAGAGCTGCATTGTGCTGCCTCATGCTGCATGGTGCTGATGGGGTGGATCAGGGACGTCCTGGGGGGCCGTCTGTCTGGTGAACATTTGCATGACACACCCATACCGTATTTCAGGAAACACCCTCGAACTCCTTTTAGCGGAGGGCCTCAGATTGGTTTTGGGCTAGGCTGATCAATTAGAGTTGGTATGAAAATCGGACAAATATGTCATTTTATGCAGTTTTACACTTGATATGTCATAGTTCTTCCTACTCCTTTCAGAAAAATTGCTGGAAAATCAGCCCTGCCTCTAGAATAAGTCTGGAATTTCAGCCTTTTTACCCCAAATCAGCCTTTTTTCTCTGAAATCTGAGGCCCTCAGGGGTTTAAATCCACAATAATACAGTACACGGGCCAGGGTGGGATTGAATGGTTGCTACATCCACGCAGGTTTCAGTCCAGGCTGGTTATGCATTATGTTGCAAAAAAACAAAGGCAATGTTACAGATACAGACAAAACGATTCAGCTAACATCACTACGAGTCACGTTGAGTATCTTTCTTCCCCTGTCCCAGTCTGCTCCATAATGAGCCCCTCTCCTTCTCTCCCTTTTCTCCCTTCTCTCCCTTCTCTCCCTTCCCTCCCCTCTCATTCCTCTCACCCCTCTCCCCACCACCCCCACCACCATTACCACCAGCTGCAAATCCACTCACCTCCAACCCACCAGCACCTCCAGGGTAATACCCTGAATTCGGCGCACCTGCACCAGTTACACCTGACCCAGATACACCTGAACCAGTGGCTTCTCCAGGAGGGGTGTTTCTGGGCCCTGAGTCCAGAACCCTGGGCATGGATAGGTAGTCGTCAGCTAGTCGCTGTGCTGGGTGTGCTAATAACGAGGATGTAGCTCGAAATATAAACCGGGCAGAGTTGCTGCTGTTCTCCCAGATATATGGCTCGGGCACGGAAACTGCTTCCAGGGCAGCGGTCAGCCCATCAAAAACTTCCTGCGGGCAGTTGAAATTGTTGGGACGGTCATGCCAGTAGATACAGTCGGCAGTAAAAGGGACGGCAGGGCGAGGGGCGCGGTTGGGAGGTGGACCGGGGATGCACGAGGAGCGGCAGTAGAAGAGAACCTGGAAGGTGGGAGGAGAGAAGGGGCGTTCAGAGGTTAGGGGGGATGTGCATTTGGACAGGCCACGCCGTTACAGCAGCAAACGGGGACGGCGGGGCGAGGGGCGCGGTTGGGAGGTGGACCGGGGATGCACAAGGAATGGCAGAACAAGGGAATCTGGAAGGGTGCAGGTGTGTTGGGGGACGGGAGGCGTATGGGATGTAGGAGAAGAAATATATTTCTGCTGCGACAGGTCGTGCCCATTGAGTAAAGCTTTGAGACAGCTCATACATGCGGACAAATTTGTTGGGACCGTCGGGCCAATACAGTACTTGGATGGTGAGGGGAAAGAGGAACGGCAAAGGAAGCGGATTTGGAGGTTGGTAAGGAAAGCAGGGTGTTTGCAAGTTTTGAAATGCATAAAAACACAAAGAAAAAGGAGGATTTTTGTAACAGTCAGGATCTCACCAGGCGCAATGAACGGCCACGATCAACCGAGCGCTGGGACTCTGACGCGAGGGCACGGAAGATCGGGGAGAGGTCAACGGAAGAGTAGGCTGACGTGGCGTGCAGTGATTGGACGCCGGCTAGGAGAGAGTTCATGTCGTTGGTGAAATGCTCGACCACCTGGGGAAAGGGAATGGAGTATCGGGACAAACGGAAGAGCGAGGGGCAAGAGGAAGAGTGGGTGAAAAGAGGAGTGGGGCACAAGGGGAAGAGTGGGGGACAGAGGCAAACCTTCTCAACACAATTGTGTGCCCACCCACAACATTTGGGACGCCTCAAAAAATGGGGTGATCTCTGAGTTTGGCTTCGAGGATCGAGTCAACTCAGAAGTCACGATCTCTACGCAACTGCGCTGCGCGTGCACCCACGACGTCTGCCTACTTTGACTTGAGGTGCCACAAGCGCGAACCCAGAAGAACCGTGGTTGCCATGGGGAGGAAGCAGGGGAGGTGGAGGGAAGGGGGGGGGATGGAGCGGGGGGAGGCGGCACCCTGTGGGATGGGCGTCCCCAGGAGAGCTGTCAAACAAGCCTGTTTCCACAACAAGTACATACCCAGGAGAACTGTGGTTGCCGTGAGGAGGAAGCAGCGGAGGCAGCCCCCTGTGTGGTGGACAATGCCGGCGCTCCTGCTGCTGCTGATGTGTTGCCCTTGAGTGCGGCCAGGGCGAACCTGGTGGGTGACTCAACCTCACAAACCTGATTTCTACAACAAGTACATACCCAGGAGAACTGTGGTTGCCGTGAGGAGGAAGCAGCGGAGGCAGGCCCCTGTGTGGCGGGCGGTGCCGGTACTCCTGCTGCTGCTGATGTGTTGCCCTTGAGTGCGGCCAGGGCGAACCTGGTGGGACGGGAGAAGGGGTGAGTGAGAAGGGTGCATGTGTGAACGTTCATTGAGTAGCCCCAGGAAGCAGGTGAGGCAGGCCCCTGTGTGGTGGGCAGTGCCAGTACTCCTGCTCCTGCTACTGCTGCTGCTGCTGCTGTTGCCCTTGAGTGCGGCCAGGGCGAACCTGTTGGGTCGAAAGCAGGGGGAAAGAGAGTTGGAGGAAGGAGCGCATTGTGCATGGGGTGATCTGTCATGATTTCCTCCCCCACCCCACCCCCCCCCCCCCATCTGTATTCTCTGAACTTTTTTGGACTTACCAAAGGTTCTTCCTGAGTGCAACATCAGGACAGCCACCTGTGCGTTATGATTAAGCTGTGCATCATAATTCACCTGAGCGTCATAAATCACCCGTGCGACGAATTTACCTGTGCGAGGGGTTCATGGCAAGTTTCGAGTGCGTGAACAGCAGCAGAGCCTGCCGTATCGCGTCTAGTCTCGTCAGCGATGCTGCTGGTGCCGCTGCTGCTCCTGCTGCTCCTGCTGCTCCTGCTGCCCCTGCTGCTGCTGCTGCTGCTGCTCCTCCTGCTGCTGCTATTTTCTGGTGCTTGTTGGGAGATTAAACCCGCTCCTGCTCCCTCTCCTCCCACCCCTTCGCTGGCTGGAGCGGCTGTAGCGGCGGCTGCGCTGCTGGACGGCTTTAAATCGCGCGCCGCCTCTATGTCGGTGTCTATACAGAACACTATGTCCTCTGGCACTGCCGTTGCTAGTCTGCGCGCGTCGAACAAGGCTGGTTGCGAAGCTGGTTGTAACCCTGGTTGTAAACCTGGTTGTAACGCTGGTTGTAACGCTGGATGAAACCCTGGTTGTAACACTCCTGGATGCGACATGCCTGGGAGCAACGCGGAGCTTTTAACGATTTGCATGTGTAACGCGTATGATTCTGGATTTATCAGAGGTAACACGCGGACAACACGCTTTCCTTGTAGGCGAGCGATGCGGATGACGAGTTATCAGACGTAACAAGCTTGCGAATATGTCGGCTCCAAACCGCGACTCCTAGAATCAAGAGCTTTGAGGACGCAGTAAAAGTGGAGAATCGATCGCCTCAGGATCGTTTTATAGCGCGGTTATAACCGGTTTTGTACTTTTTGTATGCAAGACGCGGGGTTTTAGTGCGGTAACCGGATCGATCTTCCCCCGATCGAGCACTTTTACCGCGTCAGGCTGTATGCTGAGTCGCTGTCAGCAAACTTTTTTTTTTTGGCAATGCAAGTTACACTATAGTAGCGCATACAAGCATTAACAGCCGTAACTGGCTGTCAGCAAACTCGTTTTCACGAAAGATGATATGTGACAGAAATCCAATGCAAGTTACACTATAGTAGCGCATACAAGCATTAACAGTCGTAACTGGCTGTCAGCAAACTCGTTTTCACGAAAGATGATATGTGACAGAAATCCAATGCAAGTTACACTATAGTAGCGCATACAAGCATTAACAGTCGTAACTGGCTGTCAGCAAACTCGTTTTCACGAAAGATGATATGTGACAGAAATCCAGCGACCAGAGGTATTGGTTACATGCTCGTTTCTAACGGAAGCTCCTCTACCGCGTTTCTCTCCAGTAAGCACCCCAGCCAGATCTGACCAATCCGACCAGTTTACCCTCGCAGATCACTGATGTCGATTTGGCAACTTCAGGAGCGTGTGTAGGACAGCGTGGCGTGGATCCACGTCATGTAGCTTTCCCTGACTCCCCGTCACTGGTTGGGTTCTCCGCCTTTTCGCCACCTATTCCGTCGATTTCTCATGAGGTCATCCTGTCACGTCAGCATCACATTGGGATCAACAGCAAAACCCAGCAGCCAATGAGCACAGAGAAAAAACTTCACATTTTCGAACGTCAAGGGACATGTCACGCAAGGCGCGTCCTTTGAATGCTTTCAGCAACCAGATTTCAGATCTCTCAGATAATGGATTTGTGCGAAAGTAAAAAAAACCGACACAACCCCACATGAGCCCGAAACAAGGTTACAGCCGATGAACGCGAAACGAGACCTTTTTTGTTCTTTGACTACGCCCTCTTGGTCCCAACCTCCCATCAAACCCCTAGACGCAAATTCATAACTTCCTGAAGGACAACCTCTAGGATCTGTAAAATTGGCAACCTCTCAGATCCCAGTTTTGACAGACCATTTCAGCATTTTAGCTCGCCTGCTGCCTGTTTCCGCCAGGTCTTGCCGGCCCATCCTGTGCTGATTTTCGTTTTTGGCTTTGCAGCCGTATTTACATATTACCCTGCGTTACCAGCATCCTAGCACCTCTCGGACCTAGCATCTCCGAAAAATGGCAGCCACTCTCGCTGACGTGACGATGCAGGCAGCAGCCTTCGCATCCTTGCCGGCTCGCACGGCTGCGGCTTCCGCCACCGCCAGGCCTCTGGCTTCCAGCTTCGCGGGGATGTCGCTCGCAACGAAGGCGTCGCGCAAGGCCGTCGCACGTCGCCCACTCTCCGCGACGATTCGGTGCGACGCCGATGGAGCGGCTGCGACTGCGACCGCGACAGAGGCTGAGGCGATCCCCATTGAGAAAAGTGAGTGACAAGTCCTCTGTCATTCCTTTCCCTACTTCCCCACCGTCCCTCCTCTGCTCGTCTTGGTTCCCCTGCCGCGCATTTTTCGTGTATGCTATCCCTATCCGCACACATCTTTGCCTCTCATTTCCTTCTTCCGCCTCTCACACACACCTCGTTTCTGCACTAACTCGGTCTGCCTCTCACTCTTCCCTGCTTTCCTCTTTTCGTTGCACGTGTTACCATTCGGCAGCCTTCGTCAACGCCCCGGCCGTGTTGGATATCAACAAGATCAAGGAGCTTCTGCCGCACAGGTGAGGCTTAAAATGCACAGGTGCTGTCACACAGACGGTGTCGCATATGCTTAGACGCACAGCTGCTGTCGCACAGGTGCTGTTGCAAAGGCGGCGTCGCTCAGTTTCGCATGTTACCATCCTGCTGTCTTTCCCAACGCCCCGGCCGTGTTGGATATCAATAAGATCAAGGAGCTGCTGCCGCACAGATGAGGTTCAATACGCACAGGTGCTGTCGCACAGTCTCGCACAGATGCTGTCGCACAGATAGTGTCTCACAAGAGAGACACATCTGCAAATAGTGCCGTCCAGGTGGTGCCGTCCAGGTGGTGCCGGCCAGGCAAGCGCTCCCTTTGCTTGTTGTCACAGACATAAACCAACAGATAGTTTCCTTTCTAAGGCTTCCATACTCTACTTTCTGTCGCTCTCTCTCCCGTTAGGATAGTGAGGAGCTCTATAAGCTCCGCAGGACACGCAATCAGATACCCGTTCCGGTAGGTCGACTGAGTGACGGTGGTGGGCATCAAGACCGCCTTTGTATGGCGCCTCAAATATCGTTTCCGTCTCACCACTCCCCACCCTTCCCCACCCTCCAGATACCCGTTCCTGCTCGTCGACCGAGTGATCGAGTACGAGCCGGGCGTCACGGCTGTGGGCATCAAGAACGTCACCGTCAACGACAACTTCTTTCCCGGCCACTTCCCCGAGCGCCCCATCATGCCCGGCGTGCTCATGGTCGAGGTACGCCTTCCCTTCCACACCCCCTTTCTCCCCCCCCCCCACACTGCACCCTCCTCCTCCCCTCCCTCTCCCTCCCTCTACCCTCTCTTTCTCGCCCTCTCTGCAACTTCTTCCCAGACCACTTCCCCGAGCGCCCCATCATGCCGGGCGTGCTATGTCATGGTCGAGGTACGCGAGCGGTTGTCCTCCCTTCCTCCCTCCGTCGAGTGTCTATCTTCTCTTGCTAAACGAGCGTCCTCCCTCTGTCTACGGCTGTGCAGGCCATGGCGCAGCTAGGAGGAATCATGATGCTCACAGACGCCTGCCACGGCAAGAGAGCCGTCTTGTGCTTCCGTCTTCTCCTCACCGCTTGTCCTCCCCCTCACCGTTTATCCTCCCCCTCAACCCCTCACCCCGGTGTGCAGGCCATGGCGCAGCTAGGCGGAATCGTGATGCTCACAGACGACTCCCACGGCAAGAGAGACGTCTTGTGCTTCCGTCTTCTCTTCACCGATTGTCTTCTCCTTCACCCCCGGCTGTGCAGGCCATGGCGCAGCTAGGCGGAATCGTGATGCTCACAGACGACTCCCACGGCAAGAGAGACGTCTTGTGCTTCCGTCTTCTCTTCACCGATTGTCTTCTCCTTCACCCCCGGCTGTGCAGGCCATGGCGCAGCTAGGAGGAATCGTGATGCTCACAGACGATTTCGGCGGCAAGAGAGACGCTTTCTTCTTCGCCGGCGTCGACGGGGTGAGTCTGGGTGGTTTCGAGTGTGGTTCAGGGTGGTTCAGTAGGATTCAGGGTGGCTCAGTACGGTTCAGGGTGGTTCAGTCTGCCCAGGCCGGTTCAAGGAGAAAGAGTTAGGATTGCGTAGAGAATCGGGATTCCATTAAGAGAGAATCAGGGTCACGTAGAGAGAATCAGTAGCACATGAATATCGCGTGGAGACATACATCTGTACCCCTCTTCCCTCCTTTCCACTTTTCAGCTCTCATCTCCTCTCCTCAATTCTCCTCTCTCCTCCTCCCCTCTTCCCTCTCCCCTCGCCTCCTCTCCTCTCCTCTCCTCTCACCTCCTCCGTCCTCCACTCCCTCCTGTTCCTTCCAGTTTCTCTTCTCACCCCTCTCCACTCCCCTCCACTACTCCCTCTCCTGTTCCACTCTGTTTCTCCTCTCCCAACTCCTCCACAGGTCCGTTGGCACAAGCCATGGACCCCCGGCGGCACCCTGGTCATGCGCATGTTTTGAGACGTCTCAAAACTCGCTCTTGAGACGTCTCAAAACTCGCTCTTGAGACGTCTCAAAACTCCGTTGGCGGAAGCCATTGACCTCAGGCGACACCCTCGTCATGCTCATGACCCTCACCAGGTACCAGAAGCGGTTAGACTGACACGCACATTTTTCCCATCTTTGTCATCCCCACCGCTCCCAACCCAACCTAATCCCTTCAGGTCCGTTGGCGCAAGCCCGTCACTCCCGGTGACACCCTCGTGATGCGCATTCCTCTCACCAAGTACCAGAAGCGGTCTGATTGAGACAACTCATCCGCCTGTCCCCTTCATACCCCGCTCTACTTCTCCGTCTTCTCTGCAGGTCCGTTGGCGCAAGCCGGTGGTTCCCGGTGACACCCTCGTGATGCGCATGACGCTCACCAAGTACCAGAAGCGGTTCGGAATTGCCAAGCTGGCGGGCAAGGCGTACGTGGGTGGTGATTTGGTGTGCGAGGGCGAATTCATGCTCGCGCTCGGCAGCTAAGCGCTACACTCTGGATAAGATTATAGGGTTCTAGGGTTACGCCTGTTCAACCCTGGACATATAGTGGCTCTTTGAAATCTACATGGTATAATGTTTGGCAGCATATTTTTTTTGTCACTTCACTGTATTGGTAGTGCATAACAAAGTTCAGCAACGATAGGTTGTGCTCATCAATGCTCCGGCCTGCATGACAAGGCACTGCATATTGTGGCAATGGTAACCATCTTTATATATATGATAATTTTTTAAAGTGTAATGAAATGTAACACTTTCTAAAATTTTGTATTGTGAAAAGGGGTACGTGGCCAACACAGCAAAGGTAGCGCCGAAGCGCTACTCACCCTCTTTTGCCTACAAAAGAGGGATGTGGGTGTCAAACTATATGTGCTGCACATTGTCTAGGCTGTAGTGGGGTAGCCCATATGGGGTACAACCCAATTAGGGTTTACTACTTGTACTCCTGCATCCTGTTAGTTCAGCCATTCCTGCTGCTAGATTCTGACATGGTTTCAGAGCACTAAGGTCCGTAGGACCGTTTTTTTCGGGCCCACCTACCGCTGCGGTTACCGCGCTACCCCACGTAC